CAAACTGTTCCAAAAGGTGACCTGGCCCAGTCTGATCCAAGTCTGGGCCATTTGTCATGAAACAGGAAAAAAAATTGCTAAACATGAGGTTGATCGTACGTTTTTGTATTTGTCACTAATTAATGAGCGACCTAATGACCTTCCATAATAGTAAAAATAAAAAAAAGATCCCATCCATCTTCACAGCACCAGTGTGGCTGATATAAAGACTCAGTGATGACAACAAGAAGTGGCCAATTGTTATTGGCTGCCGTAGATCCACACATGATCACGTGGTCTTTGGAGCCAAATGGAAACAAATGACCCCAGTGTTGGGTTAATAACACACGACGTGCTGGTCCTCACTTACAGCCTCCCAACGTGCTCCTGAAACCAGGTCCATACCCTGGAGCCAGACCCCTCAGGTGGTGTAAACAGGGGGCCAGGATCAGGACTGAGCACATCTGCTTCTGTTTATGCTGTTGCAATAGTTGGCAGTAATTCCTTGGCCCCGGTCAGTGGTTTGTCTTATTTGTGTTGATGCCTCTAGAAGAAGCAAACACGCGCTGCGTCGTCCCATCAGCCCCCTCTGCTGCTGCCGTGTTCTAAACACTGGTGACAAGCCAATATCTCCCCACACAGGTGCTGCTGGGGTAATTACTCATTTCTACCACAGAACGTTTACCTCTAATTTATCTGCTTATGGGAATCAGAGAAATGAGATAACGCTTTGAGGAGCATCAGGAATAACAGTTTTATGAGATTGGTGTTTTTCTTTTCTTCATCGATTCGCCTCAGCCTGAGCATCAGGTTTCACAGAGGAAAAAACAAAACAAAACAAAAAAAAAAAAACCTGCAGGTTTTGAAGGATTGCATATCAACAAAAGAAAGTAAAGCTTCTCAATTTAAAACAGTATCGCACCAGAGGAAACCTGTGTCTGGAGGAGTTTACGCTGATTTTTCTTTTTTCTGGTACAAAAAAAATATCACGTTCCCAAACAGCCGACCTGAAAGAAACCTGCTTCCACTTGACTGTGCTAACCGCTAACTGCTGATCAACACCATACGTTTCCACTTTTGTTCCAAGTTACCATGGTTACCCATGGAACACTTGAGGTAAAACATGTGGCGATAAGTAGTAAAAGTACGTCTGAAGTACTGCTGTTTGAAGTAATGACATAATTGTATGAACAGTGAATTTATAATGTATTTTATGTATGCACAATGTACATTGTGTAATTACTATAACAACAGTATGATTACACTTTCAAGACACAATCATCACCTGCTCCGCAGCTTCCTGTAAATCTCACTGCACTTCCTGCCACCAGAACATACGTAATAATAATTAAAATAATTATAATTATAATTATAATTATAAAGCATTAACAGCTGCAGACACCAGAGTAAACACAGGAGCAGGTGAAGGCTTTTACCTGACCGCAGCTGTTTTATGCGTCCATTGCTGCTGCCGATGTCCACAGGCAGGAAGTCCTTGAACCAGAAGATCTCTGGGTCGGGGTTTCCACTGGCTGCACACAGCATGGTGGCCGTACGGGTTCTCTCCACCACCTTCAGCTGGGGGCCCATGTCGATGGAGGGGAAACCGTGGGGGATCTGGTCCTCTGTGGGGAAGCAGAACAATCAAAAACACTTTAAGTTCCTGCAGTTTTCTCCTGACAAATGTTCTGTGTCGCTCATCACACGGCGTTAACATGTACGACCGAAACACGAGCAGCCGACCGCCGTGCTCCTCATCATCAATTCCCCTTTTTACACTGTGACAGCTGGACCTGGAGGCATTTAAGAACCTGTGGAGGCAGATTTTCACTGTTCCACTGCCTTCAGCCCCCCCCCCCCCCTCCCCCCCTCCACCTGGGCTCCAACCCCACAGCCCCTGACGGTGCAGAGCCACTGTCTGACTAATCCTTCAATGGAATTTCGCATCATGGATCCGTGAGGATGAGAATGAAGCAAAGCTGATGCAATTTCATCCTCTGGGAATGAATGGATTCTAAGAGCGGAGAGGAGAGGGAGAACGTTCCAGAGATTGGACACAGTCTGATGTCTTTACTGCTCCAAATTAATAAAGAGACTCATTAAAACTATTTTCCTGAAAGTCCAGTTAATACGACTTTTCTGATGTTAAACCTGACACAGTTTGTTCTCCATCACACAAAGTACAAACAAAAACATAAGTGATGATCAACTGGCGGCCCGCGGGCCGAACGAGGCTCGCAGGCCTCGTACTGAACCATCCATTCTAGTGCACAAAAATAAATAAATAAATAAATAAAACATCAAACTCATCATTTTTACTCAGATAAAATATTTTATATACAGATAAAATATTTTTGCAGTTTTTAGCACAAATGATCTACTTGGCAGCTTGTTCTGGGGCATAAACTTGCATTTTTAAGCATTTCTGGGAGTTTTTATTTTTTTGCTTTTTTTCGTGATAGTAAGGCTATAAAAAAGTGAGATTTTTACTTCATTTGATTTGAGTGTCCCTGAAGTGTGTTCAGAAATATATATATATATATATGTATATATATATATAGTCGTTTTTTGTTTTTCAAAGGAAAATTCAATTAAAGCAAATTAAGTACATATTTAAGTGACATTCTATGATAAAAAGACGTTAATAAAATAAACTGTGAAATCTCTTCATGTCTCATTTCGTTTTTTTTTCTTCTTTCTCCACAGTGCTGCACACTTTTGTCTTTACTTTTTTGTTGCCTCCAGAAATTCACAAAGGACAACTGCATTCATTAGCTATAATTACACAGTCCACAGGGACACAGTATGAATACATTACATTTACCATTTGGTCTAATGGTCACATCCACAACACACTTAGAGCCTTTTTTCATTAATGATTAGATGAAGTGAAAACATTTTCTTTTAATGAATAGTTGATCAAATGAAGCCGAGCCCTTTTTAATAAATACACGCAATATTTATTTTCCTTTTTAAATTCTAGCGTAAAATCATTGAGCTGAAATGCTAAAAGAAAATACAATAATTTTCTTCAATTTTGTTTATTTATTCCACATGAATGTTCCGCTGACTTTAACATTCAGTAGGCTCCACGGATATTTTTTTTTTTTTTTGATTTAATGGAAGCAAAGTAAAGTTATTCAAGACCTAAACTACTAGTGCAAAAAATATGATTGGCTCCCAAACCTAATTACCTGCTGTACCCTTGTGGTACTGCAAGTAAATGTCTGTAATAACTTCCAATAAGTGCTGAAATAAGTAATTTCCCTGGACCAGGGATCATTGGAGAAATACTTTAATTCTATTGCAATGAGTTTGGAGCAGGAATTGTTCCTTTAAGTTACTATTCAGCTCAGTACTATAACAAAGCCACTTAGAAACTTCAAATCAGTTTTATTTGAGCTGCTCAAAGGTGGAATTGCACATTGATCCTGCTCACTGTCCAACCGTGTAACCACAGCTGCAGACAAGCTTCTGAAACTGACTGAACTTTCTGTTCTTTTTATTTTACCCTGAAGGCCAAACTTCATCTTATTCACACAGTATTTTAATAATCGTTTCTAAGATATTTGAATCAGTCTATACCAAAAGCATTCAGATGTGGCAAACGTTTTTGGAGAGACCTTATATGGGCCAATCCAACATACAGTAGTTGGGGAGGGGGGGGGGTGGGGGGGGGAGAGATATCCGTGTCTACAAGAGAACGGAACTCTCTTGTTGAAATTAAACTGAAACAGAATCAAAAGCAGTCATTTAACCTTCACTCATGTAAACTAGTTAAACTAACCCCTAAGTCCTGCCCCCCAAAAATTTTAGATTTATTCCTAATGAGCCGTGTATTTAATTTTCACTCCAACCCTGCGTTTCTTAGAATTAGAGTTAAGAAAAGTATTTAATTAACATCGACAACCAAAGACCGATTATTTTACAAGTTCTGACCTTTAAAATTTAATGAGCAGATTTAATCACCTTCTTTGCTCCTGAAATACGTCATGATATTTAATTAATTATCCTTTAACACAATTTTAAAATGAACTAAATGTGAACAAACTACAAAAAAATAACAGACTTACACCAATGATAGTGATGAGTATAAATGACTGTATCATCTGCATATAAAAACACCGATCTAAGGTGTGAATTAACCACAGTATACACTGGCAAGGCTAAATGCTAAACCAAGCCATGATATTTGCGGCAAAGTCAAAAGGAAGTTTAGTCTTTCTTAATCCCAGAGATTAAAAACAACCTGAGAACTTTTCTTTTCATCTGAGTCATAGAAAACAACCAGAGTTACACGAACTCATCCGTTCCACCAGGATGTTTTTCTTTTTTAAATACCTGACATTCATTTCTGAGATTCATTTGCAGTTTTAATTATTTCTGAGTCAAACATGACGAGCATCAGCAGCGACGTTTGTGAAACTAAAGAAAGACGAGATGTTTCCTCCCAGACGGCAGCAGCTGCAGCTGCAGAAGAATTATACATTTCTCAGAGAGAGGAGACAGACATGGAAGAAAAAACAACCAAACCACAAAACACCTGACACTCTGTGTGTTGTCTCAGGTGAACCCCCCCC